AACTGGACTCCTTCCTTACACCTTATACAAAAATTAACTCAAAGTGGATTAAAGACTTAAACATAAAACCCAAAACTCTAAACACCTTAGAAGAAAATACACTCAGGACACAGGCACGGGAAAGTATTTCATGATGAAAATGCCTAAAGCAATTGCAACAAAAGCAAAACTTTATAAATAAGATCTAATTACACTAAAGAGCGTCTGCACAGCAAAAGAAACTATCAACAGAGCAAACAGATAACCTACAGACTAGGAGAAAATTTTTGCAATCTACCCGTCTGACAAAGATCTAATATCCATAGGCTACAGGAACTTTAACAAATTTACAAGAATAAAACAAAACCCCAATAAAAAGTGGGCAGAGGACATGAACAGACACTTCTCAAAAGAAGGTATTCATGAGGTATTCATGTAGCCAATAAACAAATGAAAAAAGCTCAATATCACCGATTATTAGAGAAATGTAAATCAAAACCACAACCAGATACCTTCTCATGCCAGTCAGAATGGTGATTATTAAAAAGTCAAGAAATAAGAAATGCTGGCAAGGATGAAGAGAAACAGGACTGCTTTTACACCGTTGGTGGGAATGTAAATTAATTCAACCACTGTGGAAGACAGTGTGGCAATTCCTCAAAGATCTAGAATCAGAAATACCATTTGACCCAGCAAACCCATTATTGGGTATGTCCCCAAAGGAATATAACTCCTTCTATTGTAAAGATACATGCATGCATATGTTCACTGCAAAACTAGTCACAATAACAAAAACATGGAATAAACCCAAATGGCCATCGATGATAGACTGGATAAAGAAAATGTGGTACATATATACCATGGAATACTATGCAGCTATAAAAAGGAATGAGATCATATCCTTTGCAAGAAAATGGATGGAGCTGGAAGCCGTTATCCCTAGCAAACTAATGCAGGAACAGAAAACCAAACACCACATGTTCTCACTTATAAGTGGGAGCTGAACGATGAGAACACATGGACACATGGGAGGAACAACACACACTGGGGCCTGTCGGCAGGAGCAGGGGCAGGGAGAGCATCCAGAAGAATAGCTAATGGATGCTGGGCTTAATACCTAGGTGATGGTTGATCTGCGCAGCAAACCACCATGGCACACGTTTACCTATGTAACAAACCTGCACATCCTGCACATGTACCCTAGAACTTAAAATAAAAGTTGAATAAAATAAAAAGAAGAAACAGATTTATCAGGCTGGACATGGTGACTCACACCTGTAATCCCAGCACCGTGGGAAGCCAAGGTAAGAGAATCATTTGAGCCCAGGAGTTCGACACCACCCTGGCCAACATGGCGAAACCCTGTCTCTACTAAAACTAAAAAAAAAAAAAAAAAAAAAGTTGCTGGGCATGGTGGTGCGTGCCTGTAGTCCCAGCTACTGGGGAGGCTGAGGCCAGAGGATCACTTGAACTTGGGAGGCGGATGTTGCAGGAAACTGAGATCGTGCCACTGCATTTCAGCCTGGGCGACAGAGGGGGACTTTGTCTCAAAATAAATAAATAAAAATTAGTGACAAGGGATCTGGCAAGATGGCCGAATAGGAAGAGCTCCAGTCTGCAGCTCCCAGGGAGACCAATCCAGAAGACAGGTGATTTCTGCATTTCCAACTGAGGTACTCTGTTCATCCCATTGGAACTGGTTAGGTAGTGGGTGCGGCCCACGGAGGGCAAGCAGAAAGAGAGTGGGGCATCACCTGACCCAGGAAGTACAAGGAGCTGGAGGGCCTCCCTTTCCCAGGCAAGGGAAGCCGTGAGCTTGGAACCACAGCATGACAGACCCCTTCACTCCATTAGAAAGGGGGCTGAAGCCAGGGAACCAGTGGTCTCGCTCAGCGGATCCCACTCCCATGGAGCCCAGCAAGGTAAGAACCACTGGCTTGAAATTCTCACTGCCAGCACAGCAGGCTGAAGTCGACCTGGGAGGCTCGAACTTGGTGGGAGGAGGGGCATCCGCCATTACTAAGGCTTGAGTAGGCAGTTTTCCCCTGACAGTGTTAAGGAGGCCAGGAAGTTCGGACTGAGCAGAACTCACCACAGCTTGGCAAAGTGGGTGTGGCCAGACTGCCTCTCTAGATTCCTACTCACTGGGCACGGCATCTCTGAAAGAAAAGCAGCAGCCCCATTCAGGGGCTTATAGTAAAACTCCCATCTACCTGGGACAGAGCACCTGTGGGAAGGGGCAGCTGTGGGCACAGCTGCAGCAGACTTAAATGTTACTGCCTGCCGGCTCTGAAGGGAGTAGCAGATTCTGACAAGGAGGTTTCTCCCAGTACAGCACTAGAACTCTGCTAAGGGACAGACTGCCTCCTTAAGTGGGTCCTTGACTCCCATGCCTCCTGACTGGGAGAGACCTCCCAGCAGGGGTCAACAGATATCTCATACAGGACAGCTGTGACTGGCATCAGGGCGGTACCGCCTGGGAAAAAGCTTCCAGAGCACAGAGCAAGAAGAAATCTTTGCTGTTCTGCAGCCTCCACTGGTGATACCCAGGAAAACGGTCTGGAGAGGACTTCCAGCAAACTGCAGCAGACCTGCAGAAGATGGGCCTGACTGTTAGAAGAAAAACTAAAAAACAGAAAGCAGTAACATCAACAAAAGGACCCCCACACAAAAACCTCATCAAAAGGTCATCAGCCTAAAAGATCAAAGGTAGATACATTCACAAAGATGAGGAAAAGCCAGCGCAAAAATCCTGAAAATTCCAAAAACCAGAATGTCTCTTCTCCTCCAAATGATTGCAACTCCTCTCCAGCAAGGGCACAGAACTGGACGAGAATGAGTTTGACAAATTGACAGAAGTAAGCTTCAGAAGATGGGTAACAACAAACTCCTCAGAGCTAAAACAGCATTTTCTAATCCAATGTAAGGAAGCTAAGAACCTTGATAAAAGGCTACAGGAACTGATAACTAGAATAACCAGTTTAGAGAAGAACATAAATAACTTGATAGAGCTTAGAAACACAGGACGAGAATTTCGTGAAGCATACACAAGTATCAACAGCTGAAATGATCAAGCAGAGGAAAGGATATCAGAGACTGAAGACCAACTTACTAAAATAAGGCATGTAGACAAGATTACAGAAGGAAAAATGAGAAGAGATGAACAAAGCCTCCAAGAGATATAGGACTATGTGAAAAGACCAAACCTACAATTGATTGGGGTCCCTGAAAGTGACGAGGAGAACGGAATCAAGCTGGAAAACACACTTAGGATACATTATTCAGGAGAACTTCTCCAACCTAGCAAGACAGGCCAACATTCAAATTCAGGAAATACAGAGAACACTACTCTGTTACTCCTTGGGAAGAGCAACTTCAAGACAAATAATAATCAGATTCCCCAAGGCTGAAACAATGGAAAAAAATTTAAGGGCAGCCCGAGAGAAAGGTAAGATTACCTACAAAGGGAAGCACATCAGACAAACAGCGGATCTCTCTACAGAAACCCTACAAGCCAGAAGAGAGTGGGGGCCAATATTCAACATTCATAAAGAAAAAACTTTTCAACCCAGAATTTCATATCCAGCCAAACTAAGCGTCATAAGGGAAGGAGAAATAAAATCCTTTACAGAACATCAAATGCTGAGGGATTTTATCACTGTCAGGCCTGACTTATGAGGGCTCCTGAAGGAAGCACTAAACGTGAAAAGGAAAAACCAGTACATAACCTGAACAGACCAATAACAAGCAACAGATCAAAGCCATAATAAAAGTCTTCCAGTAAAGAAATTCCCAGACCTGATGGCTTCACTACTGAATTCTACCCAACATTTAAAGAGGGACTAATATCAATCCTACTCAAACTATTTTGAAAAATAGAGGAGGGAATAGTTCCAAACTCATTCTATCAGGCCAGTATTACCATGATACCAAAACCAGACAAAGACACATCAAAAAAAGAAAACTACAGGGCAAAACCACTGGTGAATATTGATGCAGAAATCCTCAACAGAATACTAGCAAATCAAATTCAGCAATACATTAGAAAGAATAATCATCATGACCAAATGGCATTTATCCCTAGGATGGAAGGATGGTTCGACATATGCAAATTAATATATGTGATAATGCATATCAATGGAATAATGGATACAAATCATACAATCATTTCAACTGATGCTGAAAAGCATTTAATAAAACTCAGTACGTCATCATAATACAAAGCCTCAAAACACCAGGGAAAGAAGGAACATACTTCAATGTAATAAAAGCCATATACCGCAGACCCACAGCTAGTATTGAAGTGGCCTCGTTGTCTAGGGTAAACACCCAGAGTTCTTGGTCTCACAGCCAAGGAAATCAAGGACATGGGCACACCAAGAGTGAGGTTTAGAGCAAAAAGTCAATACAAGAAACAAAGAGAACAGTTTTGTACTACAGAGAGGGGTCCCAGAAAAAAACAGTTGCCATCCTGCAGTGTAATGCAGGGGTTTTTATAGATGAGCTACTGGGGAGGCAGTATCTGATCACCTACATAATGTAAACATAACCCGTTAGGACCAGGTGTACCATCTGCATAGGGTGTGAATCTCTGGCAGCCCCCACCCTAATCTTTTATTATGCAGGCGGGTCCTCAGCCTGAGCTACAACATGTTGCTTATTTTGCACTTACTCTGTATGTGCTAAAAAAGGGGAGATGGAAAGCCCATGGTGAACATGCCTGGCCCCACGTGGCCTTTTCTATCAGTGCAGCTGTTGGCATCCCCCATGAAAGCTTCTAGCTTCCTATCTATCTATGATAGAATATCAGTGTACCAACATTTTATCTCAATGTACCATCTCAAACACAAGATTTAAACTTTCAAAAAAGATTCAATTCTCAAGACTATTAAAGATCCAGAAATAAATTTAACAAAAATGTGCAAGAATTCTTTGCAGAAAACTGTAAAACTTTATTAAGAGAATGCTATCAGTCACATTTCCAGCATAACAATAATATTCTTGGTTTCAGTCTTCATTTCTCTTGGTGTAAACCTATCATTGCGTATCACCTAAAACATAAATATAAATATAGGACCCGTTACTCAGCAGATTTTTATTCATATGACACTAGCGGTATACAACTACCGTGTTGATGAACTAATATCAGAACCCTGAGGGTGACCCTTTAGCCTACATCCAGTTAGCCTCTGAATAAACTCTAAAGGTAGACTTCCAGGCATATTAACAATATTTTTAATTCATGCCACTTTTTCTAGTAGAATAAAGAAACAAAGAGACTGTTCAATTTCAGAATGAATTCAATCAAGTGAATCTATTTGTATGT